GTGGAAGGTGTGGGGCTAGGGCATGGGCAGGTGCTCCCTGGAGAGAGAGAGGGGTGTGCAAGATGGAGCCGCGACTTGTCTGGGGGGCGCAGGAAGGAGTGGGGGGTGGCTCTCACCGCTGCTCCCACCACTTATCTGGGAAGGCATGGTGGGGGGGCGTGTGCCCCCAGATCTGTATGGTGTGGGCAGCGGCAATGCTGGGAGGGGTCTATGGGGCATCTGTGGCAATTTTTTTTTGAGTGGCTGCAGCCCTCCCCCGTAGCCCCAGCCCGCAGCTGCAGCCTGCCCCACCTGCACCCCACACAGATCCTAGGCACACTTTCTTCCCCACCCCCACATACCCTCCAAGGGTGCACGTAGCAGTGAGATCCACTCCCCTCCCCTCCCCCGTCCCCTCCAGACTCTGTCCCATGCCCCGCCTTCCCCAGTGGGGCAGTGCCTACCCTGGCCCCACTCCCTCCCTCACCACAGGGCCTTTAATCTGCACTCCCAAGCCCCTTCCCTCCCTACCACAACAGACTTACCAGCTGCATGCAGCTGCATCGGAAATCGGATTGGTATCGGCCGATATGCCTCCTCAAAAATCAGCTATCAGTATCAACCCCAAAAATCTCTGTTGGTGCACCCCTATTAATTAACTTTCTAAAAGTCAATTCTATTCTCATCGATAGTAAAAAGAGCCAAACCATACCCTTGTTCAAGGGATGCACTAAGTAGTTTCAACACCACTAATTCAGATGCTTAATTTTTACATTGAAGTAAAACAAAAAAAGAGAGCTTTCTGATGCACAGTAAACATATATGTGAGCAACAGCAAAAAGATGTCAGCGATGATTTCAGTGATGTTTCATTCATTTGTATTAGAACTTTGTGTCTTAATTTTCTAATACTTGTATCAGAGCCATCCCTTGCCTGTAATTTGACAACTTTTATGATATCCTTGTGTTGGATTTTCGTCCCTGAGTCTTGACCTAAGGGTAGAAAAGGTGAGAATACTGCACCAATGTTATTTATAGAGTATACAATGTGCTGTACCCAAATTATGCATCTTTATTGTTATCTCCATCTCTATTTTGGCATGCCGTGAATTGTGAATATGCAGTTCTTGGTACTTGGTACCTTTCAAACAGCACATGAAAACACAGATAATGGGACAGAAGTCACTGTGTTACTTTTAACACTCCCTGTTCATGCTGGGTTTGGGGTTTTTTTTGTTGCTGGGCTATTGGTGTAGCCGTGTCAGTCTAAGGACATAGGCAGGCAAGGTTCTTTGAGTAGATGCAATAGCTTTTATTAGACCAACTGAGTATTTGTGCTGGTTTTTTTAAGTCAGTTATGTTGTCTGTTTTGTGTCATCTGGGGAGGTCTTGACTGGGCTTTTTTTTTTTTTCTCTTTTAACGTCACATTTTGTGTCAGGTTGCGGGCAAACCTTTGGTACCAGAAGGCAGCTTCTGTTGACAAAACTTGGTAGTTAATCTCTGAGAGGATCTAGCTGGCATGTTTTGAGTAACAGCAAGTGGTGTATTTCATGTTTTGGGACATGAGAAAGTAGAGAGGTTGCTCTCCCATGGCTTCTCTGGGCTCTGAAAAAGAGCCATTTCCCATGCCCAGGAGAGGTAAAAAGGCGGTCTGCTGCTCCCTGATTGTTTCCCTTTGGTTTTATTTTATTTTTGTTTCATTTTTGCCTTCTCATCCACTGTCACCTGGAGAAGCTGCTGTCATGTTCATTAAGAGAAGCTAGCAGGAGCAGGAAGAGTTCACGGGAACTCAGTGCAGGTTCCCATGTAGCTATCAGTAGCGACTGAGCATGGGAGTTAGGGAAACAGCTTCTGAATTAGAGCTTCTTATACCTTAAGTGCTGGAGGCTGCAAGTGGGAGAGGAACGGGAGGATCCTGGTCATACCCATTTTACTGTCCCTTTCAGTATCCACTCTTTGCCACTGTGTGACACAGGCTGCTGGACAAGCTGGACCTGTGGTCTGACCCAGTAAGTGGCAGTTCTTACATTCTTAGATGGTACTTCCCTGTCCTAAAACTTTCTGTAGGGCTGACTGCCACATGTCTAATTCTTCTCTGCTCATAGAGGAGGATCTGCTTGGGACTCCCCCCTCTTCCTCTTCTTCAGTAAGCTGTTAAGGATGAGAGAGAGGGAGGGCTTCATATCATGCTCTGAAGGTTAGGGTCATTCCCTGCATGATTCTGACCTCCTCTGGAAACTTGTTCTTCAACCTAGCCCCCTTTCCAGTGAGAAGCATATATGTCTAGATTTTTTCCATGGATTATTCCAGGCTTGGACTCAATGAGTTGCATTGTGCCTGAGGGGAGAAAAACTGTCTCAGTAGGTTAGACCTGGAGACCTGATCTCTTAGGCTATGCCAACACAAAGCTGCCTCTGTCCACAGACAGCAGCCACCACTGCCAATCCACCAGAGTGCTTGCATTCACCGTGCTTTAGGATTGTTGGTTGTAGCCATGTTGGTCTAAGGACATGGGCAGTCAAGGTTCTTTGGGTAGATGTGATATCTCTGATTAGACCAACTAAACAGTTGGAAAAATTGTTCTTTGCAAACTTGCAAAGAACAAACACCCTTCTTCAGGCATAGGTAAAGGGCGTTTGTGCACAAAAGCTTGCAAAGAACAATTTTTCCAACTATTTAGCTGGTCTAATAAAAGATACCACATCTATCCAAAGAATCTTGGCTGCCTGCGTCTACCATGTATTTCTAACAGCTGTGTGCAGCTCCACAACAGCAGCTATGCTGCCAGGGTGGAAAGTGCACACTAGAAGAAACCAGCTGCTGAACAGACCAAAGCAACTAGCTGAAGGCACGAGTTTTTACACGGCTTATTTTAGCTCTGATGGCAGATCTTTGTAGTATAGACCAAGCCTGGATTTTGAGCTGTCAGTGACTACTTCCTTAACCGGGGAACTGCTGGAGGGATCAGAAAATGGTAAGCATCTCTCTGAAGACTGAAACTGGTCACAGGGACAGGTCCACAGGGTTGCAGCGCTGTGGTTGCATCCCCCTTTCTGCCACTGACCCAGGTGCACAAGAAGCACCAGAGGCACTTCTGCCCTGCTCTGGCTGCAGGCCCTTGGTGGGGTGTGGGATCAGCTGGGAACAGTGTTGACAGCACGCGGGCTCCTGGTTCACAGACTGTAAGAGGCTGAAAGGGACCTTGCAAGATCATTAGGTCCAACCCCACTGCATTAGGCAGGAAAGACGACTGGGGTCAGATGACCCCAGTGAGGTGACCATCCAGTCTCCTTCAAGCACCTGCTCCTGGCCAGCAGGGGACACCTTGGGAGGAGTGGGCAGGCACACTGCTGCTGCATCCCCAGCTGAGTCTGGCACCTTGCACAGCTGTTCCCCGTGGCCTGTGGCAGGAGTGGGGCAGGAGGAGCTCTAGGGCTGTTCCCCAGCTGGGGACAGCAGCAGGGTCAGATGCGTCTCCTCCACCCCTCCTTCATGCTCTTGCTCCTGGTGTCCCGCACCAACCCAGGGGTTCGAGCCATGCCTCGCCCACATCCCCCAGTGGTCTGAGAGGCAATATGTCTTTACTTAAATCCTAGATTTGCCCATGGCTGGACACAGTTTGGACTGTTTGGAGCCCCCAGCATGGTCGTTTTTGTTCAACATGTAATCTGGTTGGGATGGGCCAAGCAATAGGCTCTCATCTTTCAGCGGGGTGAGGGGAGAGGGCAACTGTTGGAACAAGCTGAGGTTGAAAGAAGGCTTTATTTGCTTTTGCTACTAACTCTATCTGGCCTTTGTGGGTTAATTGGTAAGTTAAACAAGACCCAGGGGCTTCCTCTCACCCTGACAAGCAGGAGATAGGGTGGGGCAGTACCATTCAACACAAGCAGGGCTCGGTGACCTAATCTAGCGGGTTTTGTCCGAGTTTCTGGCCAGCTGTACTTTGCTGTTTCTTGGGCTAGGCATGGACCTGCTTGCTTTTCATCTAGGAGCTACTGTCCTTGAGGTATGGTGGTGTCCTTGTAATGCCATCGGTTATATCTGAAGGAAGGAGGTAGAACTGGGTGTCTTGTGCAGGTGTGGAGCCAGGGTACTAAAGAAAGTGCCTCTGAAAGGGAGACTGTTAATTAGAGCTATACAAACAACCCAGATCATAGCCTTTCTTCTTTCTGTCAACAGCTGCCAGTTGTCTTGGAAGAGCCACTTTCTTGCACCAAAAAGAATTCCAGGGGAAGTGTAAATAAACACGGGTATTTGCTGAGTAGGAAATATTTAACCCAGCTAATTTCAAGTTGCAAGAACTTAGAGTGGAAAATGAGCAAAAGCACTATTTGCTGCCAGGAAACCTGTATCTCCGAGTTTAGTTTCTATTAATTTATTTATCAATTTTGTCTTTTATCTGCGGTGACTGTAATTGGCTCTGTGGTAACTTTGTTTGACATTTTGGATTGTTGCCTTGTCTTTGTGTTGCATTTCTGCAGCTTTTATTTGCAAACTAGCAGTCTAAGAGCTATTAACTACATCCGCTGTGTTTAGACATCAAGAAGCGACTGCCCAGAACTTGTCTTGCTAAAAGTGTGAGATCAGCAGCAAAGTTCTGCCTTCCTTTTCTTACCCTCGATGCTTTTTCTCCTTTTTGGAGTGTGAATAAGGACCCATAAGTTTCTCCCAGGGGGGAAAAAATATACAATCTGGATCCAGGCTTGTTCACACCTGACAAACTCAAGCTTCCAACTGGGTTAAATATTTGCTTGCACTAATGATCATGAACCATGAAGAGAGTGCAGCCTCCCCTGCTGATGTTTCATCTTCCAGGGAATTGCCTGTAGTGTCATTAGGTTTCTACTACATTGCCTCATAATCTTTTTCCTGGCATTTTAGTAATCTAAATATGCGTAATTGTTTTATAACCATCTCTGAGTCAAGTGACTGCCTATTTAAAGGTTGAATGTTGCTGTGCCACCGCTAAAACTGAGATCCAGCTCTTAGCTGGCGGCATAAAAGAGTGAGTCAGGAAAAGGGAATGCTTGCGGCAGGTGGCACCTGACCATCGCTTGTTAGTTTTCTGCAACTTGAATTCCCACCTCCAGAGTGACATCACTATACCACTAATCGATAAGAGGGCTGACTAATGCTAGAATAACTCACAGAGATCTTTCTGCAAACACAGAAAAACTTCTGTCTTGGAATGAAAGAAGAAACATCCTGTTAAATATGGTCTGCTTGCTGTTCAGTACCCCCAGTCTTGTTCTTGCGAGTGTGGCACTGAAGTCTTATGTTTCTGGCAGGTGTGAGGGATGAAGGGAGCTAGACTTTGTCCTGAGAAGAGTTCCACATTACTGCCACACTGGTGATGAGAAGCTTGCCATCAGCTTTGCAATGAGCAAACAACTACTACAAAGCAAGATGCAGCAAGAATATCGGAACATTTGTGTCCTTTTGCCCAACAGAGAACAGCTTACCTTAATCGTTGGGGTGAGTTGATTTAAAGTTTTCTTCTGAGATGTTGGTACCACACATACCTCTTGTATTTTAATAGCCAGAGCTGTGATAAGGCTGAGTGTATTAACTGTTATTGTTCTCATAGATGTACTCTGCTAATCCATTGACCTAGCAGCTACTGACTAATTTTAACATAATTGCTATTTTTGTTTCCTAAAGGCTAGACCAGCAGAAATGCTTAATTTTTACTTAAATCTCTTCTTTTTACCTTTGAAAATGAGTCCCCAGTTTTTAATTCCCTTTCACTCTCCCAAAATGTTTTGTAACAAATTGAAATGAAAATCCAGCCACTTAGAATGAAATGTGAAATGGCTTGATCGGTTGACTTTGGCAGACACAGCTAATTTACAGTAACTACTCTGCAGTTTCTCTCAACTATTCAAGCTGGAAGAATTCAGATGCTGTTTTGTAAATGAGTCTCTTAAAGAATTTATTATTTTTGTCTTTTGTTATAGTATATATTTTTAACCTGTTTAAATAAAATAGTGATACATCCAAAGGGTGCCAAGTACTTTGTAAAAGAATTTATTATCCTCACTTTTTCTGTGGAGGAGATTTGAAGTGCAAAGAGGTGAAGTAGCTAGTAAGAAGTCTTTACACCAGTGGCTCTCAACCATTTTCGACTCAAGGAACACCTCTGTAACTTTCTGTGAATTAAGTGGTGCCCAGTTTCAAAAATGAATTTATATATAACTGTGCATACCTTTTTGCAGAGGGGCCAGGCAGTGAGGGTATGGGATTGTCCAGGCAGGCACAAAACACCTTGTTTGAAAATCCCTTCTTTACACGTACACGTGTATACAGAGTTAGATCTGTTGCCTCCATGTATGGGCATCCTGCCCACTAGACCACACTGCCTCCTTTTGTAAAAACAGGTTAGCATATGAGAGAGCGAACTGATGCATGAAACAGTTGAGTTCTCTCGCTTGTTTGCTATCTAAATTGTGTACTGTCCTTTTGGATGATGGTCTGCCTAGTTTAATGGTTTTCAGTCTGTAGTGCATGGCCCCATGGTGGTCTGCAGACTGGCTAGGGGATCTGCGAAAGATGACCGCGATCAATGAAAAGTATGTGAACAGCAGCACTTGCAATTCGAAGGGATCCACACCTCCATCTGAAATTTGTTTAAGGATCTGTAAATTAAATAAGATTAAATTAAATATCTGTAAATGAAAAACACTAGCCTAGTTGTTTTAGGTTATTATCCCAAGGAGGAGAGAAATAGAGACAGATATGGTAAATTCCTATTCTAAATATGTAACAAAGGTGAGTTTAGAAAATATGCATGCTATTCTTTAAAATCCACACAAGAATTTTCCCACCTGCTGTGCTGAGATGTTACCATCACTGGAAAAAAAAGCATAGACTAGATTGATCGGAAACTTAGCAACAGGCATCAGAGCTCTTCCCTTTTAGGTCACCAGTTCAAATCCAGCCCAGGAAAGGCAGCTAAAAATCACATGGTCTGATGGCTGTCCTAGTGGAATAGTAGTTTTAGTTAAGTCCCTACTGGACAGTATGCTGGTCAGAGACAGTTGTGGGTAGGTGTTTATACTGAGTGTGTCTCTCATTGCTAGCTCTTTTATTTGTTTAAGCAGATGCAACAGGTTTTGAAGGCTGACCTACCCGCACATCTTTGGGCATTGACTCAACTAAATGTTTCCAAACATTTTCTGTTGATATTACACCAGTGCTGGCAAGTGCTAGAGTGGAAAAGTCGCAGGTGTTTAAGCACCAACTTATGTAAACCTCAGAATAAGTCTGGGTGACACCAGTATTTGAAATTAGAGGTGCACCAATATATCAGTCGCATATCAGATCAGCACTGATAAAAAGGAAAATTAACATTATCAGCAGTCAGCTTTTTTTGGCCAGTGTAGCTGATAATGTCACCGATAAATGCTGCATGCATGCAAGCTGCAGCACACGCGCAGCCAGGAATGCAGCCTGGCAACTTGGACAGCAGTGTCCAGCTGGAAAGTCTGTGATGGGTAAGGGGCAGGGGGGAGGGAAGGGGTGTGGGGAGGCAGATCTAGGGCCCCCACAGTGAGGGAGGGAGAGAGTGGGGCAGGCGCTGCCCAGCCAGGGCAGTGAATGCACTCCCAGGAGTGAGACAGAGCTGTGGGCAGTTTGTTTGAGGGTTGCGGGGGGTGAGAAGTGGGGCAGGTCCCCACCTTTGCATGCAACCCTGGGGAGGCATGGGAGATGCATGCTCCCCTTCCCCCCAATTTGTGCACAGGGTGAGAGCAGGCTGCCTGCTGTGGGCTTGGGACCAGGGGCTGTGCCAGCCTCTTCCTAGTGGGGTGGGGGCTGGGCTGGGGCTGCACTGAGGGCAGGTGGTGGCTGCACTGGGAGGGGTAGCTATGGGGTGGGCTTTGGCCAACTCAAAATTCCCTGTAGTCCCCCCTCTCAGCACCACCCCCACCCACCCTGAGCACAGTCCCAGCCCAGCCCCCTGCCAGGAAGAGGGCAGTGCAGCCCCTGTCCCCCACCATGCCCTCCCTGCCTCCTCTGAGGGTGTGCGCAGCAGCAGGGAGCTGCCCCCCCCTCCAGACCCCCAGTACTCTGGGGGTTGCATTCACTGACCTGGCTAGACAGCCCCTGTCCCACTACCTCCCTCACTGTGGGGGCCTCAATATTCTCCTCCCCCCCCCCCCCCCACCCGGGGGGCCTCAAAATTCCCCCCCCCCCCCCCTGGGGGGGCCTCAATATTCTCCCCCCCCCCCCAACTTACCAGTGGGATGCTGCTCTCTGAGCTGCCAGGCTACATTCCTGTAAATCAGCTATCAGTTCAGCATCAGCTGTTATGACTGGTTAATAACTGGCCATCAGTATCAGCCAAGAAAATCTTTCTGTACACCCCTATTTGAAATAGTTGTGACAGTTAGTGGCCCATCTAACTTAAGGTTTCTCATCCTGACATTTGTGGATTTCTTTCTTTTTTTTTAACTGCACCCCTCCTTCAGTGTAGTCAGGGTTACTGATGATTTGGCCAGCTAATCCATCTTTAAAATATTAGCCTGAAGCATTTTGAACTATAGCAGCTTTAATAAGTGTAGATGGGGTCTTTAGAGTTCAGCTTTACAGTGCAAGCAAGAATGGAAGGAATGCCAGGCACATCTTTCAGGCCATTTCTGCCTCATTTCCTGAAGCCTCTTTGAAGGGCCATGTTGTTGAAAGGCTGAGTGGGCTGCACAGAGTGCAGCCCCTTTGATAGTTTATCTTGAAAGTGTAGAGCCCTACATATTTGGGTTCAGAGATTTTTAAGGGATCTGTAACTTTATACCTGTCAATAGCCTTTTAAAAAGTTTTTGCTTCTCACTTACTTCTGTCTGTCTCTTTGGTTAAACAGTTGGTTAAGTATTGTACTTAATGTACTCTGACATGTCTGTGTATGGAGAAAAATATAGCTAACTGATGCAAAACATAAATTCTCAGAAACACAACTAGGTATAGAACACACAGGGAATGAAACCTGATTCTTAGGATAAATTCAAAGCCAGTAACAAATTCCACCTGTTACGGTTTTAAAAAACCTACAAAATAAAAAGATTCTTCCACTTGTGAAGTCTTAAAGGGGCAAAGGAGCAACTTGTCCAGCAAGACCAGTAGCATTTTAGATTTAATGAGTGCAACCACAAACAGCATCCTTTGCTATTATCATAGTGTTTGCTCAAGACAGCAAAATTGTAAAGTGCCAGACAAATCCTGGGCATTAGCATTACTACTAAGTAACCAGCCCACCAAGGTAGGTAAGTATCATTCTTTTTTCAGCAGACCAAAGATCTTGCTCTTGATAAGTAAGGGATGTATGCATGTATTTCCAATAACTTCCATTAAGAGATGCCACAAATCCTGTTCATCCAATTGAGTCTATACCTGGCCATTTTATGTGATCAGGTCTGGATCCATAGGGTAAGGTTTGTGCTTCTTGTTTAACCTTTTCACAGGTTAATGTTATGAGGGGGAGGGGGAGGGGTTGGGAGAAGAATGCAGTTCATAAAAGATTCCTTCCATTCTTCAATATTAAATGTGTCCAAGTTCATTTAGTTGTTGTCAGCAACCTCCTATTTTCCTTGGTTGTATAAATGATTGATAGATGCCCTGCAAACCATCCTCTCAAACAGCGGTTTCCCAACACCAGAAAGGCTGCCACAGAATCTTAAAGAAAAAGCAAAAATGTGAAGGGTATTGGAGCTTACTAAGATCCTATGCAAATTTGAATCAAAGTCAGAGAAGTCTGACCTGCTAACAAGGGGTGTTGTTTGGGTATAGAAGGGGACAGCATGGCTGAAAGTGTACAGATCCTGTAGGACAGGGGTTTTCAACCTTTTTTGGTTGGTGTACCCCCGGTAGCCATTCAAGAAGCAGGGAGTCAGTCACCCGGCCGGTTGACAAGCTGGGGGGCTACCCCGCATGCAGTGGCACACCTGGAAACGCTGGCGGTGAAACCAGAAGTGCTGCTGGTGAAACAGGAAGTGCCCCTGCTTCTCTGTGCTGCTGTGGCATACCCCCTGGGGCTTTCCCAAATGCCCCCAGGGGTATGCATACCCCTGGTTGACAAACCCGCTCTAGGAAGATGTGGTCTAGGCCTTGAGGAGCTTACACGGGCAGTAAGTGGGACAGTACACTGTAGATTCTGATCATACTGGGTGACACAGGCGACCTCTACATGAGATGCTACTGTGCATTAGCAACAAGTTACTGTGCAGTAGTGTTGGGAGGGGGCACAGTAGCGTTGTAGTAATGAGTTGCTGCGCAGTAGCTTGTTGCTACTGCGCAGTAACATCAAAAAAACCATGCGGGGATGTTACTCTGCAGTAACACCACTTATTGTGCAGTCATGTAGTGTTTGGTTATGCAAGTACTAAATGACTGCACGGTAACAACTGCACAGTCCACTGCTCGTGTAGAAAAAATAGGAACATCCTTCCCAACTCGGAAGATTCTGGCAAATAGACTTAATAGAAGCATGCAAACCTAAGTCTTTCTTTTGGCCCTTGGGGAATTATTGGCCACAACACAGTGTGTAAATGGCACAGTGATTCTGATTTTGGTAGCATTTTTCACTCTACTTGCTGAGCACTTGTCCACGTATGATGTTACTTCAGAATAGCTGTAAATGATTATATAAGGGCCTTAAGCAGACAACTATAACCCTATGTTCCTTGAGTAAAGGAAGGGTTGATTACATTCTTGGTCTTTGGGTACCATCATGGTGGACTTGGGATATAAATCTAAGTACTGTAATAAGGAAGAAAAGAACTCTAGGTGGAGAGGACAAATGTAAGAATAATTTATTGGAAGGGGCTGTTAGTAGAGTTAAGGGAATATAGGGCATGAAAACAAAGATGATAAGCATGACCTAAGCTATGCACGGCCTTGAAGATTAGAAACATGAAAAAGTTGAGTATTGATGAAAGGATTTGAAGAGGGGAATGACATGGGTGGGGCTGTGTGTATTTTATAGGCAATTTTATTACTTGCCTCATTCAGAGTGTCCTGTACTTGCCTTCAGATGTGTAGCTTCAGAAAATTCCATGTTATAAGAAGGCTTCTGCTTGTTTTGAATATGAAAGTATGTGAAACGTGTCTAATTGTGTAGAACAGGCCTGTCCCACATACGGCCCTCAGGCTGCCATGCAGCCCACCAAGCCATTTTCTGAGGCCCATGGTGCTGTGACTGGAAACGAAAGTAAACACTGTTTACTTTTGTTTCTACCCCTTGTCCCTCCCCCAGCCTCTCAGCAGCTTCCTAAGGGCTGCTGAAGGGCTGGGGAAGGGACAAGGTTCCCACATGCACCACAGGTTGACATTTGCCAATGCGGTGCGGCTCCTCCCCTCCCCCTTCATTTCACGGTGTCCCTTCCTCACCCCACCCCTTCCTTCCTCATTTGCATGCCAGCCCCGCCCTGTGCCGGTCCCCACCAGCCGTGTGGGCTGGAGCAGGTCGCAGAGCACCAGGGGGCACGGATGCTGGCTCAGAGGGATGCTGCGGCCGGGCCTGTGGGAGATGCTGCTGCCACTGCTGCTATGACTGTCAGGGTGGGAAGCCGGTGCCGCTCCCGCATCCACCTGTGCCCATAGACATCGTGCTGGGGGTGGTGAGTCGCAGGCCCCAGGGAGGGAGGGACCTTTGCCGCTTGGGCTCAGGTTCAGGCTGCCCCAGGGGAGAGGGAGCAGGAGGGTGTCCCTGCACATCTCGCACCCCACTGCTCCTGAGTCCCCACATGTCCCCCTGGCT